GACTGGGTTGGAAGAAAGACTCTCTGGTGGTTATAGCATGGCACTTGGGGTCCAGGGATCCACACAGTTGTGGCAGGTCAGCCCTGAGGCTTCTGCCTGGTAGATGTCTACTAGAGACAGTGTGGCCAGGGTAGGGATGGGTCTGGCAGAATGACTGACAGACAGTAGGGCATTGCCACTGCAAGGACCCTCCTAGGGGGACTCTACCCAGCCCCAGAGCCGCTTGTGCTTACCCTCTCCATTTTGATTCTTGACCTTAGGTGGATACAGAGGCTCATGGGAAAGGCTTAGATGAGCTGATTTCTGATGATGGTGGAAGGGTTACACTAGACACAGAGGAAGCTAATCTGAATAACAGAATTAGGCCTCAATTACACACCCATCAACTTCTAACAGGGGCAAGCTTTGGGGATCTTGGCAGGATAAGCAGTGTGGCTGCATTATCTCCACTCAATGGCAGGTAGGGAAACTGAGTCTCAAGGTTGAGAAAGGTGAATGTTGGGGTTAGGATGGTAACCTGAGATAAGAGGTCTGTCCCAGGCCCATCAAGATGGAAGAGCAGTGGAGTCCAAGAGGGTTCTAAGGAAGACAGATGGGTGCTTGACCCTCCAGCAGGGCCTACTCTCTCAGGCCTCCAGTGTCAGCAGCCATCTGGTGCTGGGGATGCTGGGAATTCAGGCTGTCAGGCCAAGGATCAGGGTGAAGGCCAGGTTTCCAGCTTCAAGGCTGAAGTTCCATCCCTTGCCTGGGAGCATTTTGGGAACAGGGTCTGCTCTGAGATGGTAAAAGCCCGGTGTGGAGGTGAAAGTCGAGATGTGGAAGCTGGGTTTGGGGAGACAAGGAAGAGAAGGAGGGGACAGATGCAAATGAGGGCCTGGTCTGCTTTCCCAGGGAAATGGCTTTGCATGCTGAGTCACCCCCGGCCTGAGCCTTTGGGCAGCAGAGGCTCCCAGACCACCTAATAGGTGTGCACGCGCAAATATTGCTTTTAGTCTGTACCATGCCAAGACATCCCGGCCATAAGCAAATCCATGTCTCTCTTTATCTGCATCTTTAATGTTACTTGTTTATTATTTTATTTTTAGTGTTTTGAGATGAAGCCTCAGGTAGCTCAGGATGCCCTTTAACTTTCTGTGTAGACCAGGCTGGCCTTCAACTCTTGATCTTCCTGCCTCTATCTCCTGAGTGGGGGGTTACAGCTTGTGCCATCACCCTACTTCTTCTTTTACATTCTTTAGGTAGGAGTTTTAGAGTTTCTCTTTGAAGTTTTTACAAGGATAACTTGACCTGAAACCTTCTTTTAAAAAATTTATTTATTTATTTATTTATTTATTTATTTACTTTGGTTGTTGTTACTATAAAAATGTTCTCATGTTCAACTGTTTTTTTTTTTTTTTTTTTTTTTTTTTTTTTTTTTTTTTTTTGT